TATTATTATTATATAGTATATATATATATATATATATATATATATATATATATATATATAGGTATGCAATATTGTCTATTGTTAAGGGCTGTAGATTTGTCAACAGATAGGTAATGAATAAATTCAATGCCGTGCCACACCATAGTACTTCGCTATGCGAAACCTCACTTACCAAAGAAACATGCCAGAACTGTTTGCGAAGCCAAGATGACAAACAGCCCGCATACCCGTGTGGGTGAAATCATTTTATGTACTAGTTTATATTATAACTAGCACAACTTTTCTGATAATACAGCTGCCACAGGTCTGCTTATACTTCTTGCTACTTTGAATCTTCCTAATAAAATGTACCTGGTAGAACAGTTCTCTATCTTATCTATTGTTGTGGCGTATGTGCCCTTCGGTCGTAAACTGTATCCGTAATCGGAACACCGGAAATCGTACACAGGAGATAGGCACTCAAAAATACTGGCACCGTAGTCATATGCGCAGATATGTGCATTTGCCGCCTGCGTGTATCCGAAGAAGTCTTCATTGTCGTACATACATAATAATTTAAAATCAACAATATTTACTATCTCTCTTGCTGACATTTTGTGCTGAACCAGTGCAGCTGTCGAATACGAGATACAACCTCTATTTTTTTTAAAGATGTAATAGGTAGGCATTATTAGGCCACTGTCGTGCTCCTTCTAGAGGTCGACCTTTGACTGTGAGGCTGTGGATGAGTTATTTCTAGAAATAAATAAATCTTTTTATACCTCTGTAAATTAGGACGTTTAGATAAGAATTTTTAGGATTCTATACTCGATTCTTTTTTCATTTGGGAAAGCTTAATATTGATTTTAGAATAGGTATCTGAAATGTATACTAAAAACAATCAGTATATTTGAAATATGACCCGATTTTGAAAATAGTTGCAACCTGTTGGTTCAGATGAGTGAAGATAACAGATTTTAATATTTAGACATCCTCTCTCTTTTACTCTCTCTCTCAGAGAGCGAGAGGCTTTCAGCAAATCAAGCATCGTTGATTATAAACAAAAGAATCCAGCAATTCATATCTCATAGCAGGACTCCAGGAGTGTCAGGTCTGGAGGACGCAGGCCGACTCTAAGTCTGAGACTCTGCTATATAGTATTTTTTTTTAAATTAATACACTCGACGACACGAACGAAACGACAGTCTATTTAGTATTTACACTCTACAGGACATACATTTTTTAACAATCACAGGGCCCCACTCACACTGCCCCAGGCCCGCAAGGCCCAGCCGCCCAGGTCCCAGGACCTACTCTCGGCAGGCCCAGTGTATCCAATCTACTAAAAGAGTTGAGTCTGACTGGTCCATTCATCCATCTTCTACTACATAAAATTGAAAATTGGCCTCTATTATAAATTACAAAATAATAATATGAAAACAGTATTATTAAGGCTATTTAAGACCCTACGTCCGGACTCCGCCGGAGTCCCATCAGTCACGCACACAGTCACACAAACAACAAGTTAACAACTCTCTAGTAGTAGTAGTCCATGACTCCGTGCCCGTGGCCATGCAACCATGCACTGATGCAGACACAGTCACACACACAACTTCACAAGAAGAAGATTTTTATATATATAGAAATACAACAACATTGTACTGATTCAAAAACTTGAAATTGAGGAATGGAGATGTTCCTAATTTCAATTTTAACGTCTGTAAAACACACATGTGGGATAAATGTTTTTATACAGTATTTTTTTAAATATTAAAACTCATTGGTTATTATTGCCGATATCTTCCCTCGCGATATCCAGTGAAAACTAATACGTAGAACATTTTTACAGCTATTATGCATTTATTTAAAAAAAACACATAAAAAGTATTCGTTTACAATCTATATTCTTTTGTAAAAAAACAACAACAACCAACAGCCGCAACAGGCAACAGTTGTCATTCCTATTTACAAACCAGTTCTTTTCTATAAAAATATTATAAAAATAGGCTGTCTCGCCCCCAGCCAGAGACACCAGACTTTTTCCCAGAGTCCAGAGTCCAGACTACAGAGGCTTTCCAGTCTCCGCTGTCTCCGGTTATGTAAATACACCCTGGTATTTTTTTTAATTGGGTTGTTCTATTATAAGAGCTATTTATTTTATTATTTATGAGATGTATGTACATACTGTATTGCTAATTATATATTTATTTCTAAAAACAAACGGAGGCTTCAGGTTATTTTTGCCTTTGGCATCATTTTGTTTATTACATAGAAATATATTTTTTCCCGCAGGGGTATATATCCCTATTATGCGTGTATGTATTTATTTATTTTGTCGAATATTCTTGTAGGGTAGGTTCCCTCATTTTGAACAACCAATAGAAAAACCGCTTAAGAAATGCTTGATCATTGGTGTAAAAAAGTGATGACAGACTAATATGTTGAATATTGTCACGACCCTTACTCCTCTAGAGAGAGAATAAAAATAAAAATACCACTACGGACGTATGTCCGAAGGAATATTGTGATTTTTCCCGCGAAATATAATACACACAAATGAGAGAGAAGTAAACACGAGGACGTAATTTTTTTAAATTTTAAATTTTTTTGATATACCGGTCTTACAAATATATTAGGCTAGGAGACAAGTCTCCTGGTTTGTGTGATTTCTAACCTCGTTAATTTTTGTGTATGTGAAGAAAATTTATCAGTAGCGATGCATAGGACAAAATTTACAAAACATTGTGTTTATGTATATATGTATGTATGTATGTATCTGTGTATGTGTGTGAGTGTATATATATATGTCTATGCGTGTATGTATATGTATTTGTGTCTGTACGTCTGCATGACTGTATGCCTGCATGTATGTATGAATGTATGTATGTATTTCTGTATTTCTGTATACATACATGCATGTATGTATGTATGTATGCGAATATATATTCATGCATGAATGCATGTA